GAGTCAGGTCCCACTGAAGCTGGAGTTAAAGGCACTTGTGAGCCACCAGCTTTGGATGCTAGAAATCGAATGAGCTTGGATCCTCTGGAAGAACATGCCACCGGATTTCACATTTATACAAAGTTATTCCATGCTGTAGGGTCCATTATTAACTGTGCCTATTTCAGTGCTGTGTAAAGCAGGACTTTTGTCCCACACAGAATCCACTGCAACCCCTCAGGTACATCTATTTAGTCTCATCTGGAGCAGTTCCTCAGCCTTTCTGTTTTCTAGCTTTAACATTTTGGATTGTTTTGTTTATTGAGACGGGGTCTCCTATATTGCCCATGCTGGCCTCAAAATCCTGGGCTCAGCCTCCCAAATGATGGGGCTGCAGGCATGCACCATTGCATCCTTAACATGGACCCTTTGGAAGAGTATTAAAGCCACTCTCGATGGGAAATGTTCTTGGGGTTTGATTTGCTGGGGTTTCTTTGTGACTGTGAATTCAGAGTCTGCATTAACAGTCAGGTTGAGGAGAGGGCCTTGTTTTCTTGTGTAATTTTTGGTGACCTGTGGGAGCTGTAGTGATTGTACAGGTGTCTCCTGTTCTCCAGCATATTTTTAATAGGCGTTTGTGTGTTTATCGATCATCAACTCTTGACCAAACTCCCGAAGTTCAGCTGCAGGTGAGACTCTGGAGGTGGTTTGGAGGCTGCCAGTGGAAAACAGCATTGAGAAAGAAACATTGATTTTTTTTTTTTTTTTTAAAAATCAAAGAGACTTTATTCCATTTGGGACACAAATGTCCTTCCAAGGTTTAAAGTCTGAAAAAGCCAAATTCACATGCCAATTTGTGCAGTAATTATTATTGAGTGCTCACTGCTTGCAAGGTTCCAGGAATAAATAGTAAAAATAAATAAGTCAGATCTCTTATTGGACTCTGTTCTCATGGGGAGGTAGACAGGAAACCTGTACAGTAAGTCAGTGGTAGAGGAAGACTAGACCAAGGAGGGTCATGGAATCTGACCAGGCTGTCAAGCTGGCCTGAAACCCAAGGGAGGCAAAGAAGCTTCAGGACTCCTCTGCTGGGAGGATCTGGCTGGCACTGGGAATTGCCACACCATGCTTAGAGAGAGGCATTTGTCAGTGCAGGGTTAGGTGACTGAGCAGAGGCAGAGGAAAGAGGGGTGGATGGAGTGACTGGGCCCTAGCCTCACACTGGCAGGCAAGGCTCCAAGAGGGCGACCTGTGGGGTTCCAGCAGCTTCTGGGGAAGGAAGGTCCCCGCCTCGGGAGTTTCTCAGCACTGAGGTGGGTGGAAGGCAGGTGAGGGCTGGCTAGGTAAGATTCCTGTCTCCCTGCACCCTGGGTGGCTGGGCTGGATTCTTGACAAGCCTGGGCAGACCAGGGCTCGCTCTCAGGAACATCTAGGAGCCCCAGGCTATATGCCCGGGGCTATGTGTCCCCTGCCAGCAGAGTCAGGCTGTTTTCCAGTGTCAAGCTCACCTTGGTTCCAGGATCCCTTCCCAGCTTTCATAGATTTCCCTTGCCAAGGCACAGCTCTCTCCAGTTCAGGCAACTGACAGCACAACAAAACGTGGGTAGACAGACACTGGTGTCCGTCTGTCCCTTCTGTGTGTGTGAGAGAGAGTTCCTAAATGTCTTCTGCCCACTAACTTCTGTAGTTCTCATACCAACACTGCCAGGATGCTGCTGTTATTGTGACCCCCAGGTCATGTGGGTGAGGGGAATTAAGCAACAGAGAGGGTTGGCCACTTGCCCTTGATCACACAGCTAGTGAATGCAGACTCAGGGTTTACACCCTGGCTGCTTGGCCCCAGACCTCTGTTTTCATCCTCTGCCTTGCACTACAGATGTCATGGTATTTTTCCTCGAGGCCCCTGCCAGTTCCAGGGTGGTGCCCTTCAGTCTGTTTCAGGCAGTCTCTTACCTCTTGAAATGTATGTGCTTGGTGTCTAGCCATAGGTCACTAGGGAGTCGGGAAGAGTGAAAAGCAAGAGTCCTTTTTTCCAGAAGATTGTGAGGATTGTGTGCCTTCTTTTCAGGGTCGGGTCCAGAGAATTGGGCTAATGCCTCTGGTGCTCCAGATGACATGCTTTACTTAGTGCCAACTACAGCTAGGAGGCAGCTTTTGTGATCACCCTTTAACAGGCGAAGAATCTGAGCCTCTAGGAGTCGTATGCCCAGACTCACCCAGCAGAAAAGGTGAACCATTTGGCTGCTCTGGTCCCAAACTTGGGTCTCCCCACCATGCCATCTTGCCCCAGAGCTGATGGGATGGGATGCTTTGTGTTCACTAGAAGTCGTCATGTGCTCGGTGTGTTATTGCCTATGTCGACTGACTTGGCTGTAGAAGAATTCGACCACTATCTTGAAAGAACACCCGGTTTTAGGCTAAGATGATGTCTTAGTTAGTTTTTCTTGCTGTGAAGAGACACCACGACCACAGCAATTCTTATAAAGAAAACATTTAATTGGGGTGGCTCACTTACAGTTCAGAGGTTCAGTCCATTATCATCATGGCGGGGAACATGGCAGACATGATGTTCGTGAAGTAGCTAAGAGTCCCACATCTTGCAGGCAACAGGAAGTGGTCTGAAAGTCACACTGAGGGAAGCTTGAGCAAAAGAGACCTCAAAAGTCCACCCCTACATTGACACACTTCCTCTGACAAGACCGCACCTCCTAATAGTGCCACTTCCTATGAACTTATGGGGGCCAGTTACATTCAACCACCACAGGCAGCCTTTGTTCTGGTCTTGCCTCTGCTGTGTCTCTGGCACCACACTGGATGAGCTTGGAGTCCCTGCCACTCTCCTGTCTTATTCACAAAAGTGCAGTAGAACCACCTGCATCCTCAGACCCAGTCAGAAAGTGCAGGCTGCTAGTTCTTAGCTGGGTGCTGATACGAGTGCTGTACGAGTGGTGTTCCCTAGAAGGGCATATCTGAATCCCACATGAGGGGGCATGTGGGTCTCTTCAGAAACATCCAGCTGATTTGGCAACACCTAGGTCACCATTCTTCCCTCCCCTGGCAGTCTTTGTTGAGGCACCAGCTGTGCCAGATGTTATTGACAATAATGGGGAGGACTTAACCTGGTGCTAGGCCAGGGCATTCAAATATAATCTACTAAAGAAAATCACAGGATTTCTTTGAGTTTTGGTTTTTCGATGAGGTTTCTCTGTGTAACAGCCCTGGCTGTCCTGGAACTCACTGTGTAGACCAGACTGGCCTACATAGAAATATGCCTGTCTCTGCCTCCAGAGACTGGATTAAAGGCATGTGCCCTCACACCCGGCTAAGGATTTCTTGCTGATTAAAACTGTTATGACAAAGGCAAGATCTCCACATGTTCGACTCCAGCCTGATCTACATAGTGATGCTCAGGCCAGCCTGGGCTACAAAGTGAGACTATATCAATTAAACAGACACACAAATAGACAAACACTGTGTCTTTGTTAGGGTTGCTATTGCTATGATGAAACACCATGACCAAAAGCAAGTTGAGGAGGAAGTTAATTTGGTTATACTTCCACAGCATTGTTCATCATCAAAGGAAGCCAGGACAGGAACTCAAACAGAGCAGGAACCTAGAGGCAGGAGCTGATGAAGAGGTCATGGAGGGGTGCTGCTTACTGGCTTGCTCCCCATGGCCTGCTCAGCCTGCTTTCTTATAGAACCCAGGACCACCAGCCCAGGGCTGGCACCACCTGGGCCCTCCCCCTTCAATCACTAATTAAGAAAATGCCCTACAGCCAGCTCTTATGGAGGCATTTTCTTAATTGATGTTCCCTTCTTTCAGACAGCTCTAGCTTGTGTCAAGTTGCCATAAAACTCTACAGCCCAGTTGATGCCTTGTCAGCTTGACACACACATCACTGTTAAGCTCTAACTTTTCCTTTCTTAACCATCTCCAAATCATACATTAGTAAAACCACAATATAACATATTTTACAAAATTAAAAATTCCCAGTCTTTACAAATTGAAACACTTTAAAATTAAATCTCTTTTAAAATCCAAAGTCTCTTTTAAAACCTAAAATCTGAAAAATTCCAGAGGATTTTTTGGAAATGTCTGGAGACGTTTGGTTGTTACTGAGGAAGGGGACACTAGCATCCAAGCTGAGGCTGGCCTGAAGTAGACGTGTTGTGTGCGTTGCACCATAGAGCGGTCCAAGCCAAGTAGCGATGGTGTCAACTGAGAAACCTGGATTGAACGTCCAGTGTTTTATATTTTATATTTATTTATTTGTGTGTGTGTGTGTGTGTGTGTGTGTGTGTGTGTGTGTGTGTGTGTGTGTGTGTGTACATACACACCACAGTATATGTATAGAGGTCAGAGACCAACTTGCAAGAGTTGGTTTTCTCCATCTACTATGTGGATCCCAGGGTTTAAACAAGTCATCAGGCTTAGCATCATGTGCCTTTATCCCCTGAGCCATCCCACAAGCACCCCATCCAGCACTTTGGAAGTGTTTCTAAGCAGCAGACATTGTTCTAAGTGTTTCTCGGGTAACTAACTCCATTCTTCTTCCAGTATTGTGCCACAAGAACTGTTGCTATCTTCATTTGGTATATGGGACAGTCAGAGCACACAGAGGTTAAGTAACTGGACCAAATTCCCAACTTGGGGCCACAGTCCCACTCAGAGTGAGTGAGGACAGGCAGAGGCAAGCCTTGAGCCCAGACAGCCTGGCTCCAGAGTCCACATTGAGCCTCTGAGCTACACTGTATTACCCCTCCTTAAGAGAGCCAGTGGGCTTCAAGCCACACTTCCAGCTTTGCATCCAGAAAGCCACATACCTAGACATTTGTGTGTAAGAAGTGAGAAACCTTTGGCCACTCTGCCTAGAACATGGAGGTGGGGGGGGGGGGGTAGATATAATTTCATGAGGAGCCAGTGAGCCATCAGCAAAAGCCTTGTCCTGAGAGGGGTGTGGCTCAGCTCATGAACTTAATGGTCTGCTTTCTAGTTACCCTGTGCTCTGTCATTGTAGATATAAAGACAACTGTGGTGTACCCTGCCACAGAGAAACACCTGCAAAAATACATGCGTCAGGATCTCCGCCTGATCCGAGAGACTGGAGACGACTACAGGAGCATCACTTTACCCCACCTGGAGTCCCAGAGCCTCAGCATCCAGGTGACTAACTGCAGGGACTCAGAATCTCTGGGTCCTGGAGCTGCTTTCTCTTGTTGCGAATACCTGTTGGGGTCATCCCAGAGATAGTGCGCACATACCCTCGGTCTGGGCGGTATATGTGACTGTGAGACTACGAAGAGGAAGTGGACAGAACTCATGAGGCAGAGCCTCCTGGTGTGGGCTGGTTGCCAATTGTTCCGGGATAGTCAGGGCAGGCTTTGTGATCTTGGGCCCTTTATGAGGTACTGATGTTCTCTGAGAAATCCATCCTGCTGGAGAAATCTTACCTGCTCTGCAGTAGCCCTGTATAGTCTGACTGTGTCTTCACAAAGATCTGTGGGTGGGTAAAAGCCTTCTGTTGGGTTGGGTGACCTTGATCCAGCCTCTTATCCCTAGTCTTTCCTGCAAGAGACAAGTCTTAGAGCTAAAACTTCCTTGCCCCTCCTTCCCCTTGCATTTATTCCACAGCAGACTGTACCCTGTCGTCCCCAGTGTGTGTTTGGTGTAGACCTGTGTATACAGGGTGGCAGAGTGCTCTGCCTGAGCCAGAGATGGGATGCTTAGCTCAGAGATCCTGGCAGTTCTTTGGGTTTAGGCCCAGTGCCAGCCAGAGCCTCTGCCTGGAATTGGCCCCATGTGGATACTCACAGTTAAATATGATGAATGCATATTGATGAGTCACTTCCTTGCCCACTCACTGGCATTCACTGGTTCCTTCTCATTATCACTCACTCATGTTTTCTTTGGGCCTATTTTACTACTCTTTCCATACTTGGGGTACATGGTTGAGAGTATTCTTATATGGGAAGCTCACAGCCGTTCCTCAGACGAATGGTGGACACCAGGCTTGAGGGTGCCGTTCTATCAGTTGTAACGGAAAGAAATAAGGAGGGGGGAGACTGTCACTGTTGGAGGAAAGCGGGTCCCCTGGGAGACCATGTGCTGACAACCCTCTTCCCAGTGTATGAGACTGGGAAGTCCAGTCATGACCACCCCGCAGCAGCATTTGCTCACAGTTCCTCTGGCTCAAGATCTTTTATCGTCTCCTCTTTTTTAAAATTTGAGACAAGGTGCCCTAGTTTCATTCAGTTGCTGTGATTAAAATATCCTGATAAAAAGCAACCTGGGGTGGGAGCTATTTTAGCTCACAATTCCAGATTATAGTTCACCACTGTGGGGAAGTCAGTGTCAGGAGCCGAGACACCTGGTCACATCACAGCCGTAGTTAAGAGCAGAGAGAGTGAGTACATGCGTGCTTAGTGCTCAGCTAGCCTTCTCGGCTTTTGCACAGTCCAGGGCTCCAAATCAGTGAATGTTGCTGTCCACATTCAGACTGAATCTTCCCACATCAATTAAATCAATCAGGTGATTCCCTACAGCAGTGGTTCCCAACCTTCCTTATGCTGTGACCCTTTAATACAGTTCCTCATGTTGTGGTGACCCAACCATAAAATCATTTTGTTACTACTTCATAACTGTAATTTTGCCACTGTTATGAATCATAATACAAATATCTGGCATGCAGGATATCTGATGTGTGACCCCTGTGAAAGGGTCATCAAGCACCTTAGGGATCGTGACCTATCATAGGTTGAGAACCACTGCTAGAGGCATGCCCACAACCTGATCTAGGCGAGCCCTCATTGAGACTTTCTCTTTCCAGGTGATTTTGGTTTTGTCAAGTTGACAAAATTAACAATCATGCCGTGGTGGCACACGCCCTTAATCCCAGCACTTAGGCGGCAGAGGCAGGCGATCTCTGTGAGTTCAAGGCCAGCTTGGTCTGTAGGTCGAGTTCCAGGACAGCCGAGACTACACAGAGAAACCCTGTCTCAGAAAAACAAAAACAAAAATGAGCAACAACAACAAAACCTAACCATCGCACAAGGTGTCATATAGCCCAGGTTGGCCTCAGACTCACTGTGTAGCAGAAGATGACCTTGAACTTCAGATCTTCCTGCCTCTGCTGTCCCACTCCCCAGATGCTAGGGTCACAGATGTATATCATCACACTCAGTTTATGTGAGCTACATCCCCAGCCCCTTTCTTTTTAAAAATGTGCTGGCATTTGTTCTGTCTTCTGGGTGGAAAGGAGGTGTCTCTCTACATTCCTAGATAACTTGTGTGTAGGATCCTAGAGGGACCTTCTGGGACATATGTTCTGTGGGGCTGTTTGTATGTATCCAGGATTCAAGAGACGAGGCCCTCGTCTAGCTGATGTGAGTCATGTAACTACCTTACTGTGCACCATTACCAGTTCCACTTGCAAACAAAAGTCATTCAGCAGAACTCCTTTCTTCCAAATCTTGATTGACACAAACTTCTAGTGTAACTGGCAGCAGTCTTTGTATTATTGAGTATCTGCTGTACTCTAGGCCCTGTGCAGGGCTTTAAGGAGACTCCAGCTGACAAGCTCTTGCTAATGTCTGAAGTCTCAGGGAAGATGGCCATGCAGATAGACTGTAGTAATAATGACACAGGCCCACTGGTGGGCTATGTGAGCATAGTTGTGATGCAGTGAAAGGGGCCAGTGTAGACATGGGGTCACATAGATTTAATCCTTCCCCTGAGTTTTAGGAGACATGTAGAACTTGACAAGATGGACAAGGCAGAGGAAAGAACAGGTCCAGAGGCTTGGTATTGGTATGACTGGGCACAGGTTACACGGGGTCAGTGGGATGGCCTTGAGTGACCTAGAGGAGGTCTGTAGACTGTGTTCAGGAGACCAGAAGTTCACAAGTACTGGAGGACATTCTTAAATATAACAGCAGGAGATTCTGGTTTTTATCCACTGTCTGGCCCTTCAAGGACTAAACCTGGTGCATGTGCATTTTATTTTCTTAATATTTTATATTTAGTTTATTTTTTATTTTATTATGTATGTGTGTGCACACATATGTGTGCACCATAGTGTACAGGTGGAAGTCAGAGGACAGCTTGTGGGTTCTGTGGATCAGACTCAGGCCATCAAGCTTGGCTATAAGTGCCTTTATCTATAAGCCATTTTGACAGCCCCACATGTACATTTTAAAAAAATCTATGCTCTTTTTTTTTTGGCATGTGTACAGGTGTCTAGTGTGTGCACATATGTATGTAGATATTCACATCTGTGTGGGTGCACATGTATGTAGATGCAGGTACACATGTCTGCTGCTTGTGGAGGCCAGAGGTCTCCATCATTCTCCACTTTATTTACTGAACTAAGAGAGTGCAGATTCAGCTAGCTTAGCTAGCCAGCTTGCCCTTGGTATCTCCTATCTGTGCCTCCTGAGCACCGATACAGATTGCCACCAGCGGCTTTTTTATGTGGATGCTAGGGATCTGAACTCTGGTTGGCCCTTTTGCTTATGTGGCAGGTGCTTTATCTCCTGAGCCATTCTTCCAGCCCTAAATATCTGTGATGTTTCTAAAGATTTAGATAGTGTGGTCAAGTGTAACAAGTGCAAATGGAGGATGACTAGAGGCCAGCATGGATCCAAAGCAGGGAAAGACAGGATCCACTCAGGAGGAAGCCCCCGCTGGGTTACAAGGCTCAGAGTGGTGCCAGAGAGGAAGGGCTGTGGGGTGACGCCGGTCCTACCAGAGTGGAAAATGGACAGTGGAGCCTTTGTTAACAAGGGCGGGATGTTGACTGTTGCGGGGGGGTGTGGGGGGGGGGGGACGACTTATGTGGAAGACAGCATGTTCAGTTTGGGATTTATCGAGCACGTGCTGGGTGCCAGGAACTGTTGTAGGCATTTTACATGCATTACCTCAATCTCCACACAGGTCTTTTGGAGGCAAGACAGAAAACCAGGCTGTCTGGTTTCAGTTTCTGGGTTCTTAGCAAATGACTTTGTCTGGTTCCTCAAGTTTGAAGTACTTATAACTTCAGTAAAGGTTCAATAAAAGACCGAAAATGGCAATGGTGTGTCCTGACCTGAAGCCTTCAAGATCACCTGGCTAAAAATGTCCATTCAGCTTCTGCATCCGCTGGTGTTTGGATTCTCATTCTCCTGGCCAAAAGCAGTGGGGCATTTTCCTTAACCCCTGAGCCCAGGTTTCCTTGTCTGGAAGTTGTGCCTCACACATCCTCCCAGTTAGGTTTGTGAGAACTAAGAGGCATCCCATTTATCATGTGCCCACCGCTGTTGCCAGCACCGGAAAGGGTTCTGAGTGGAGCTGCCATCACCACACACAGATAGTGCAGGGGAACAGGAAAGAAGTATGCTGTGCAGACACCTGGATGGCATAGGCAGGAGGGAAAGCATGGCCAGAGGAGAGAGGCGGGATGTGTGAGCAGAGTGGAGAATGGAGGGGGAATGGAAAGGGGCCATATGTCCCTTGAGAGGCCCATGGAGGAGAGAGGATGTAGAAGTTGTTGCCAGTGTCACACTGTAGCTCCATGGAGTCTAAACTGCCCACCAGGACTGGCTTTCAAGGGCAGTCCTCCCATTCCCTGACTCTGTGTAATTTGTGTGAGTTCTGTGTGAATTTCGTTCCCTTCTTTCCCTGCCTTTCTTCTCCGGGCTGCTGGCCATGTGACTTCCTGCGGTTGCAGGTTCCTGCCCTTGGCCTGGCCTTTCCCAGGAGGCAGGATGTGCTGTGCCCTGGTTCCTAGGCTTGGAATTACGTGGGCTTGCCTGAACTTCCTCACGCCTGCTTCTTCTTCCTCACCTGCAGACGGGTGATGATGATAGCTGGTTGCTGTGGCCACTCAGCCTCCAACCACCCCTTCCTCATTTTGCCTCCTCCATTAAACTGCCCCATTGCCACCTGTGTACCGTTGCTGTGTCTTGGGCACCTTCTTCATGCAGGTTCTGGGATAGTGCTTTTAAGTGCATGTCCTGGTTAAAATCTTCCCCATGAGCCCCATGCACAGACCTTAGGAGACTGTTTTGGGTAAGAGGGTTCAGTTGTTTGCCCATGGTGGAAGCAAGTCAGAGTGGAGCTGAGGACCTGCTGTCATGCTCCAGAGCTCATGTGTGCTTTGTGACAGTATGTGTTGCTCTCCAGTGGGAGGTGTGTGCCTCTGGGCAAGGGATAGTCCTAGAGGCCAGCTGTGATGTGCACCAGGACTTTCCATGATAGAAGTAGCCCGGGGTCTCCCTCCTTCCTGTTTCTGGGAGGCTTTGGTTAGCTTTGATGGCCCTTTTTCTTCTAGCAGCACATCCCCAAAGATGTCTCTGATGGCAGAAGAAATGCTTCTGGAAGAATCTTGACCCTCAGCCACAGGCATTTGTGAAGAAGCCATCTCCGAGTTGAAGGGCTCTAGCAGACCTGGGCATGGCAAAGATGGCGCTGGCAGGCCTTGCCCTTCCCCTTCCCTCTCCCTTGTGAACCATAGATCACATCCTGAAAGCTAGCCACCAAGGTCTGTTCCCTTATTTGGACACTTTCTCTTGCCAGACTCATTCCTAAGGCTGATTACCAAGGTCCAGCTATCAAAGTATTGAAGTCTAACAATCCAAAGCTCCCTTTTTGGCTGCCCTAATTAACATGCCCAATCAAAACAAACCATCACATCCTAGCCCATCCTAACACAGATCTCTCCTTTTTTTCCTCTTAAAAATCACACACACACACACCTGCAAGGTCATTTGCTCCTGTTTTCTGCCTGAGTCAGAAATCAGCCACTTTGCTTGCTTGCCCTCTCGATAAAGAATCTCTCTGTGAAAATAGATGTTTGGATGTGGTTTGTTCCTAATCCAGGATCTGGGAGGGAACATGCTGCTGTTTGCAAGCTGGTCCCTTTACAAGTGTTCTCCAGACAACTTCCAGGAAGTGGCTCATCCTGGCTTGTTCTAGGGAGGCCCTTTGACTCATTGGTCTGTCCTGCAAATCTCGTGGGGTCTGCAAGCCCTCTGAACTGAAGTGTCTCCTTGAATAATTGTTGGGACCCCAGAAGCCCAGGTATCTCCAGCGGATGTCCTCTACCCTCTGCCCCTATTCCAGCTGGCTACTGACTAGATAGGTACAGACCCCAGGCCAGCCCCCTGCTTTTGGCCTTTGGGGACACTGCCTATGCCAGCACTTCTGAGAGTGGGAAGAGGATTTTCAAGGCCTTGCCTCCTCTATTCGTGAACCTGGAAGTCTTTCTGTCTCGGAGGAGAAAGAAGGAGTAGTGGTTCATTTCACCCCATTGGCTATCAGCCATGTCTTTTGGATGTGGGGCACCCCCGGGTGCAAAGGGCTCTTATAGCTAGGGAAATAGAGATGAACCAGAGGCTCCTGTACTCTTGAGTGCTGTGAACTCGGGAGCCCCTCAGCCTAACCTTCTTGAAGTTTGGTTTCCTCACAAAGACCCCCCACACACACACACTCCCCAAGATGTAACTGTACATCGATGTCCTTGGAGTCTGTTCAGGACTAGGGAAGGGTCCTCCAGAGACTGTCAGCTGCTAATCAGAAGGTAGTAAGAGGGCTGGAAATCCCGTGAGAGTATCATTGAAACCTCCTGTGTCTGTGTGGCTTTCTGTTTTGCTTTGACTTGGGGGGCCCATCAGCAAGGCCTGCGGATACATAGCATTTCCAGCATCTCCAGGCGACAGTTCTCATTGACTCATTGGCCTATAGAACCAAAGGCTTTACTGCACTGTGGCTGGCTGCCATTACAGAAAGAAACCTCTGTGCTCTTGGCCTCCTTGACTGGTCTATGGATATAGTGTCTCCCCTGCTTTGGTAGGCACTGGACCGGTCAGTACAGGGGTAGGGAGGGGGTGTGGCTGTCTATGTTGACCAGGAGAAACCTGAAGGGCCCAACTCCATCTGAGTGACAGAGACCTGTATCACTGGTAACAGTGATAGCTGGGATTCAGCTGTGGTAGAAGTGGAGAGTCTTCCAGAGCCAGTGATTGCACATCCTGAGTTTGTAGCCTTTTATAGTGGGGCTGTTGTTCTTGGAAGGCCCCAGTCAGCTAGAGTGAATTTGTAAACCCTTTCTCTCTCTCCTTCCAGTGGGTGTATAATATTCTTGACAAGAAGGCTGAAGCTGACCGGATTGTTTTTGAGAACCCAGACCCTTCTGATGGCTTTGTCCTCATCCCAGACCTCAAGTGGAACCAGCAGCAGGTAAACACCAGGTGCTGGAGCACTCCGGCCTCTGAGCTCCTGCCTCCGTGCTGCTGGCCTGCCTGCCTGCCTTTGGGGGCCCTGCTCCCTTACAGCACCAATCACTGTTATCCAATAAGGAGTGGCCTGAGCTCCTCCAACTGACAGTGCATAGCTGTCCTGGGCAGCCACTTGGGCTTCCATGGATCAGCTTAAAGCCTTTTCTGACTCTGCTCTTAGCTGAAAGGTAGCGTGGGGGATGCTTGCCTCTATGACTGTAGGCTGTGTGTCCCCTTAGGCAGCCTCACACCTGGAAATTCTGGGTTAAAGCCTCGTTAGTCATGGGAAGTAGGTGTGGACAGGAAGAACTGCCTCATGGGACTCTTGAAGACCAAAGTGCTTGTGACTGCAAGGAGATTACATCCTAGGGATCACAGAGAGACATCAAGATAGACTTGTACACTTCTGTTACGGAAGCCCTGAATGCGCTTGAGCCGGTGGCACAGAGACCAAAAATCATCAGCATCTGGCCCAGGGTTGTCAGGCATCTTTCTGGCCTACCGGCAGAGCCGCCCATTTCCTGTCCTCTTTAAGGTAGGGAAGGCTGTGGACACTGCGCTGGGCCCAGCTACATGGCTGGAACTCCTCGCTGCAGGAGTAGTGGAGGGCCACCTTGAGTGTTACACCTGGCTCCACAGCAAAGGTTGGCCCTTCCTAACCTTTCCTTAGTTGTGTTCACGGGGCCATAGTTTATTCAGTGCCTCAGGTCCTTGACTTGTGACAGCAGTGAACTTCATCGCTCCCTTAGAACTTGGCAGTAGGATGGGTCACAGCTGAGCATCTGACTCTTGTTCTGGGGTCAAAGGAAGAATCAAGGAGATGGAGGATCCTTCCTGGCACCCTTGAGTCTCGCTTGCCTGGTCTCCTGGAAACGTTGTTCTCCTCTTTCTTCTCCTCTCCCTTTCTGCTGAGAATCAAACCTAAGAGGCCAAACACAGTAGGCAAGAGCTCTAGCCATGAGCTGTGTCTCTAGCCTTAGAAGTATGTTTATTGTCCCCAAACAGGTGGCCCTGGTTGTATTAATCTGTTCTTGCTTTCATCCATTCAACAAATATGTAGCCTGTGTCTGGTGTTGCTAGAGGTTATGCCTTGCTAGGTCATGCTCCACCTACTCTTGCTTTGTTTAGTTTATACAATGTCTTGATCTCTAGTCCAAGCTAACCTCAAATTTGTGATTCCCCAGCCTTCATGAGGACTGTGTGCCACCACAGTTCTGTTAAGTTCTTTTTATTAAGAGATTGCCTATATGCCAGGCAGCGGTAGCACACGCCTTTAATCCCACCACTTGGGAGGCAGAAGCAGGTGGTTCTCCATGAGTTCGAGGCCAGCCTGGTCTATAGAGTGAGTTCCAAGTCAGCCAGAGCTATGCAGAGAAACCCTGTCTCAAGGGGAAAAAAAAGAGAGAGATTGCCTATATGTTCTTTTGTGATTCTTTTGTTGTTATTGCATGCCCGTGGTTAAAGTATATCCGATACAAAGGCTGTGAAGGAAGGGTAGGTTCCCTCACTCCACATTCCTCAGAGCCCCTTGTTCAGAAACCACCTCTGTCACCTCATCTTAGCTTCCAGAAGTAATCCTTGTATATCACGACTATAAATATGTATGCATGGACACACAATACATTTGCAGTTCACACAGCTTAAACTTTTTGTCCTAAAGTCCTCAGGCCAGGTATCCTTCCTTTGAGTCCCTAGGGGTTAAGATAAGGCTAATACTCCTGCCATTCCCAGTCTTGCCCTTGGCCAGAAAACTGAGTTTGATTTTTTTTTCCCCATCCTGCTTTATAAAAAGTCTCCCCAGCGTGACCAGTGAGCCACCTTCTGGAGTACCGGTCTGAAGCCTCACCTGTTCTTGTCTAGCCTTTCTCAGCACATTCCTCTGTGCCAGGAGAATCTTTGGCTGCCTGCAGAAAACCTTTCATCATGAGTAATGTCAAAGAATGGTTCCTTCTCCTTCTCGCGCCCAACCTGCGAGCTGACACTCAGCACCAGGCTCCGTGCCTCGTTCCCTGCCAGGAGAGCAGAGAGATACTATTTAGTGTGGCGTTTGGGATTTTTCAACTGAGATCATTTAAAACAAGTGCTCTGTTATTTTGAGTGTCCCGTGACAGTCATATATCCTACAGCCAAAATATATGCTCAAAATCAAGCGCTTGTGTTTCCTGGTTTCCCCTTACTAATGTGAAGGTACATTACCTGGACACAAGACATGCAGGGAGAATCCAGATGGGACTTTTGTAAAGAAAGGCCTAATGAGCACAGCTCAGACAGCAGCTTAGGGGCAGAGCCCCGATTCTTGGAACTCTGTGGGAAGAATGACTGCCATGAAGAGAATGACATACTTGGACACCAGGCATTATATGGATGCTCTCGTTCTCAGTTCTCAAGTTAGGGCTCTCGGGGATTTGGCTGGGTGACTCATGGTCTCCAAATTATCTCCTTGAGGAATCTAGCAGGTCAGACCTCAGGACTAGGGGCCATTGGATTCTTTCTGGACTTCACTCCTCGGCCTGGCACATGGCTGTGATAACCAAGCAAGGCCAAGGTTTGGGGAGCAGGGAGGGTGTGGGAAGGGTTTCCGGGCAGGAGAAAGAGTTCATTTGCTCTCTGGCACAAGATCTTGTTGACACGGGCTCTGTGCTCTGTTGTGACCTCCAGGTTTTCAGCCAGGCACCATTTACAGGAAGGACTGCAGGAAGGGCCTATCTGTGAACCATTGAGATAGGAAAGAGAGAAAGAGCTGACAGTTACTGTGGCACTTGCTGCGGACAGACCCCTGGCCTCCTTTCCTCCATGTGTCCCCCACACCCTTGCGTGCACCTTTGGCTCTACATACATCAGCTGCCTCCCTCTGAGCCTTCACTGTCAGAGTTCTCTCTAGACCCATTGCCCGGCCTTTTCTAGGAGGACTTTCTGGATCACCCAGCTAGCTGGAGTCTCTTCCCTCTTGTGTGTTGGTTCCTTTATGTCATGGGGAAGTAGCTCACCAATAGAGATTGTGAGAGGCATGCAGAAGACCTTGGGTTCTGTTCTCAGTACCACAGGAAGAAAAAAGCTGCCATGCTTTATTTCATACAGTAGAACGACATGGATTAAGTTGTAAATTCTTCAGGACAAAGACTTGTGCTTGCCTCTTTCCGAACTTGCCCATCTCTCCCTGTCAACTTTGTAGAGTATATAGACATTCCCAGATGATGAATTTTGTTGGTGGTTTTTTTTTTTTTTTTGAGAGATGAACTTTCGTTTGTTTCTGGTTTTGTTTCTTTTTCTTCCTTCCTTTTCTTTCTCGATTTTTTTCTACTTTTTTTTTTTTTTTTCCTGGAGCTGAGGACCGAACCCAGGACCTTGCACTTGGTAGGCAAGCGCTCCACCACTGAGCTAAATCCCCAATCCCTTTTTTCTACTTTTTGAGAAAGGGTCTTGTTGTATAGCCCAGACTGGCCTTAATCTCTCAGTCCTTCTGCTTGAGTGCTGGGATTACAGGCATGTACTACCACCCCTACATCTTAAGATGTTTTAACAGGAAGAATACACAGAAATCCTGTTCTTCAGCGGGTCTTGTCGTCCAGGGCAGACAGACACCTATAGTACCTGCTCACTGGTCCTGCTGTAGGGTCTCCTGGATGGGCCTTGTGGGTAGGAGTGCCCTGGCCGGTAGCCTCCCTGCTGAACCTAGCACTGTCCTGTTTCTCTTTTGGTGGCTGCACAGCTTGATGACCTGTACTTGATCGCCATCTGCCATCGCCGGGGTATCAAATCACTTCGGGACCTCACTCCAGAGCACCTGCCACTACTGAGGAACATTCTCCGGGAAGGACAAGTGAGTTGCTTCACAATGCCCAGGCTTCTAGCAGATTCCAGTGTGTCCCCTGGGCCTTTTTCCTCACTCTTCTCAAAGTCCATGTGAATTTCAGTCGTGAACGCTACTAGAACTCACTAGGTTGGGTCACAGGTGGTCCTGCCCGACACTCCAGCTCTTCTTTCATCTACCTTTCCTTGCCCCAGACTTGCCCTCCCCTGCCTTTGTCTGCAGGTCCCCCGTAGGATGCTCCTCTTCCCCACAGATTGGGTCCCTCCCAGCCCAGAGTCACCTGTCTTGTTCATGACAACCACCTTGTGCCAGACGAGTCCCTTGGATATTGGTCCCATGACTTGTATATATGCACATATCTTCTCACCTAGACTGAAGGCAGGCTAATTCTGCAGCACCTGATGTTCCGGAGGTACTTTATCAGGGACACTGCGGGATAGGGAAAGGAGCCATCGGGGCAGGAGAGGGTGAGAGAAGAATGGCTAGAAGCCTGGGTTTGCGGTCCTGACTACCTCAGGGCCTCGAACAGGTCACTTTGTTTGCCTCTGAGGTCCCTGGACCTCAGGATCTGTAGGTTCCTTTGGAAACCACTACTGTACAAGCTGAGCCTTAGCCTTTCTTCTGAACTGTGTCAAGACACCTGTCCTCTCGGGGCCGACAGTCCCGAGGCTGCCTAGCCAGGAAGCCCTCTGCCCTTCAGGACAATACTGAGGTGCTTACTAGATACTGCTTCCTGTACCCCTGTGCCCTACCTGCCTTCTCCCCCCTGGTGCCCTTCTCTGGCTGGCTTTTCCTTTTTGGAGCCACTGGTTTCTCTCAAGAAGTAGCTTTTGGAGACAACCAGTGGCACAGAGGAGTGTTCTCTCGGGGAGGAACTGAGTCTCACTTCCCTGCCCTGGCAGTTTGGGCAGCCTTGTCCTGCCCATCAGCTCCGCTTATCCCAGAAAGCACCCCCCCAGCTCCCCCCACACACACCAGTTCACCCTGCTGCTGTGATTCTCCACTGGTAGCACCAAAGGCAGAGTATGATTTGGTGTTAAATTCTAAGCCCGCAGAGACCTAAGTGGTTTTCTCTTCTGAGGGATCTCTAGGGTTGGTAGGACTCTTTCTGTCTCTGAGTAAGGTGGAGGTGGGAAAGGGAACCGGAGCCAACTTAAGTGCTTTCTTCTTTCACAAGGAGCCCTGCTGAGGTCTTCAAGCCCTTCCTGAAATCTCTCCCTGCATCCTTTCCCTTTCACCAAGTTCTCAGCACAGCCCCATTTCCACATAGCCTCATCCCAAGAGGATGCTTCCTTCTGCCTACTTCAAGATTAATAGGTGCTACAGGTCTCCAGGCCCGGGGCTCTGGGCTGACCTTAGGAGCTGGGACATCCTGGACTACCAAAGGAAGAGGCCCATGTTTTCTGGGGCTTGGAGTGACTGACTGAGAGTCATTTCCATTGGGGGGTGTCTCAGCTTGCCTGTCACCACGTCTTTCAGCTTCTTAGAAGACCAGGATGGAAGGCAGGCGGGGCAGAGAGCTGGCGGGGGAGGGGGGGGGTGTTGTAAGCCCTCCCAGGCCAACTGTAGCAAGGATGTAAGGAGTCCAGTGGGGTTGGTCAGAGGACGGGATGCTGGCTGCCTGGCACCATGATGACCCTTTGCCACTGTCCTTCCTTACCAGGAAGCCATCCGGAAGCGCTACCAGGTGACAGGAGACCAACTGCGTGTGTACCTACACTACCTGCCCTCTTACTATCACCTGCACGTGCACTTCACTGCCCTGGGCTTCGAGGCCCCCGGCTCAGGCGTGGAGCGGGCACACCTGCTGGCTGAAGTCATCGAGAACCTGGAGTGTGACCCCAAGCACTATCAACAGCGCACTCTTACTTTTGCGCTTAGGACCGATGACCCCCTGCTTCAGCTCCTGCAAGGAAGCCAGCGACCCTGAGTTGCTAAGAGTGCCTGAAGAGAGAGGAACTAGTGGGCCGGGCTTGGGGTGGTGTGGGCTGGGTTTTTATCTCCGAGGGATTTTCCTGAAACGTATTTTGTAATTTCTTGGCCTTTTAGCAAAGGTCAAGTGTATGATGTATTTTGTACTGTTGTATTCCTCACAGGAGAATAAAGTACTTTCTTATTGATGAGGACCGATGGTTGTAGCCTGGCAGAGGCAGGGGGTGGAGGGGAGACAAGTGATAGGGAAGGTGAGTGGGCAGAGCTGGTAGGGACATCTTGGGAAGGGTAGAAAGTTTCAGGGTGTCACCACCAGCCAGTGAGTCACAGCCTCTTGGAAGGTTTGAGGACTTCCTCCACCTCCCCATGCTTTCTGTACCTGTCGACTCCCTTGTCCTGAGTCTACACTGCTCGCCTCCAGTTCTACTGCTGTGTTCCTCTCTCGCCAACTCTCCTCTTGGGCACGTTACTCCCACCCATAAAAACCAAATTCAAAACCTTTCCGGAAATAGTCGTGGAGGCTTTAGATGCCACTTCCTTCTTCCCTCCCCAGTAATGAGGTTACACCCTGTGTGTGCGTCAAGGCTGTTGATCAGTGTGATGAGGGGGCTGGGGTTTGATGCCTGGAATGGGGAGCGTTTTCCCGAGAAGCAGATGATGCAAACCCCAGAAGCCTGCCTTTGCTTCTGTTACTTGGTTGGCATGTCCCCGGCCTTGAGTTTGTTATCTAGGAAGGAAGACAAAACAAAGTCATGCCGGGCAGCCAGAAAGTTCAGAACACTTGTCACAGCAAAATGATCTGGTTGCAGTGGAGGGCCCAGGGGCCAGGCTGTGACAGAGCTTTGCTTCACAGAATCTTGAGGCCAGGAACGGACTTCGGGGTGTCAGAGGCTGATGGCCAGTTATGGAGCTGGCAAGAGCCTACCTCAGAAGAGTGACATCTGCTACTGTTGTACAGGGCCACAGAGAGCACCGTGAGGTCACTCTCCAACACAGAGGACAATTGTATCGTGCTGCCAGAGCAGAGCCAGTGTTTGCTGTGGGGTAGGGGAAGGCTAAAGATATGTGCCCTGTTCTGGAAGCTCTCTCCCCAGATGCAGGATGTTGGACTCTTAAGTGACCAGGAGGAAAGAAAGCATGCGGGAGAGGGGTGGCTGTGACTCTGTATCCCTTAGTCTGAGAACCAGGAGGCATGACTCGGCACCCTCAGTGGTGGCCCTGATCCTGTCACTTGCTCCAGGTCCACATTGCCTATGGTGGAGATCCCTTGGACCTTAGTGTCCCTGAGAAAGGGATTCCCTATAAAAAGAGGATTGGAGCAGGTAGTCAGAGCGCCTGAGGCCACTCTAGCCTCCAGCCAGTCCAGGGTAGGCATGACAGCTGCTGCTGTCTTAACCCAGCCTTCTCAGCAGTTCTTCAAGCACCCCAGGTTGAGGTATGTATTCAACCACCGCATGGACTTGCAGTTATTTTGGTGGTAACCAAAGCAGGTGTGTCTGTTACAAGTGTAGGCCAGACCTTTTCATGGCTGCCACACAGATTAGTGGTTTCCTGAACAGAAAGCAAATACTCTGTTGCACAGGGTCATGTGCCAATGCTGAGTGAGGGTTTGTGGAGAGGAGGCTGATGGAGATCTCTTCTTAGAGCTGCTTGCAGTTTGCAGGGCTGCTTCCTGGGTCTCACTTGCTCCTTTTCCAGGTACCAGGGTAGAAAAGTGACCTCCTCTTTGAAAGCAAATGGCACTAAATGTGCCTTGGAGCCTCAGGGGAATGAGACATTGTGGGTGGGAGGTACATTGCAGAGGTGCCAGATGAGGCCTCCCTCCAGATCACACAACACCTCTACCACATCACTCTTCGCTCCTTGCCCCTGCCCCCCATACCAACTGTGCTACCGGTCGGTTCAGGCTCGCACACAGGCTGACTTTTGTGTTACATGCCATAATATCAGTGTGTCTGGCTTGTATGGGGTGGGGTGATGACTAGATATACAACCTGCAGGGAGGGAGCAGCCTGCTTATTCAAGCTAGAGAGGTCAAGGGGTTATAGTTGCAAGGGTAGTAATTAAATCTGGAAAGGCCAGGTATACCTCCCTTGGGCATAGACCTGTGCTCTGGATGACTTTCTGGCTCCCCACTCTTGTTAACCAATCCTGTCTTCCTTTTGGCTTATTCTGCAAGGAGGTACCTGTCTGGGATAGTGGCATATACTTTATTTGCCTGATATCTCAGAGAGGTGCCCTCTAGGCCTCACTACTTAGTTTTCTCATACTGGTCCAGCCTCTGCCTGAGGTCTGGCATGGGTCTTTTCAGAGTCAGCCAGTTCTCGGCACTATCCACCAAAGATAATAGCAGCTCTCCCCCTAGACCCCAGTACCTGACTCCCATCTTCGAGCCCCAATGCCTCATCCCACTGAGGCTCCTCCTGCCAGGCAGCCTGGCTGCAGTCTGGTGGTGTTGAGATCCTAACAATGCCCTTTATGTCTTTATGGGGTAACCTTTACTGACAGACTCTCCTACGCGACTTGTCTGCATATCTTCACGTACTTGGCCTCTTTCCATTCTTGCTGTATCTGTTGGTTTGTTGCCTTTCCTGTTGGACTGAGAGGACCTTGAAGGTGAGAACATCTTCCTATTCTGGCTTCCCAACACCTGGAATTCTGTCTGACTGAGCAAAACAGAGTTTAAGGCAAATCAACACTGTGACAATTGACATTTGCATAGCAAATCATTTCATGGAGCTCTCATCCTCTATTTTACAGAGAAACACTCTTGGTGTCTTGTTACAGGGTGAATGTGAGCCCCAGGAAGCTGAAACTTCTGCCCAAGGGCCTGTAGAAATATGTTCATTAAATTTGGTGAACATAGGGAATGGAGCTGGGCCTGAGTTCCCAGACAAGGGCAGTGTGGAGTGACAACCATCCCTCTGCCTCAGGCTTTCCTCCTCCTGTCACTTCAGAGCTCAATGTCCTGTCTCCTGGGACAAAGCTTCCTGAGCAGGGCGCATTGTGCTTAGCCCTCCCTGACCAACTGCAAATGCCAGTCCTGCTCTTACAGTGAGATCTTCACATGCATGCTGGACAATGGCAGATGCCACCCTTCCCAGATAAATCAGGGACACCTCCACAAGTGGCTTTTAGCCTCCAGTGCTTGGCGGTTTTCTTTCTGGCCTGGTGGGAGATGAGAAGCAAAGGACACATGGCTGCTATTGTTCCTTGGCTTCTCTGTGTATTCCAAAGCTTTCTCATAGAGCAAAACTGTCAGCACAAAGCCAAGAGAAAGATTATATTCAAGCTCCATTTTACATGTCCCTGTTGAATAAAGCGCTCTAAAAATGAGAAACAAATCAAGAAACAACCACACACAAAGTAATATTTGAAACATTTCTCTTGTGATAGTTCCTTACCCAGGGCATTTGAATAGTCTTTACCTACGTGTCCTTGGAAGTTTGATTACAGGACATACACCCTGAGTATCTCAGGTGGTAAAATATTTTTTTGTTTTTGTTTTTTGGTTTTTTGAGACAGGGTTTCTCTGTGTAGCTTTGTGCCTTTCCTGGATCTCGCTCTGTAGACCAGGCTGGCCTCAAACTCACAGAGCTCTCCCTGCCTCTGCCTCCCGAGTGCTGGGATTAAAGGCATGTGCCACCGCCACCCGGCCTCAAGTGGTATAATATTGTCAATACAAATCCTCCTTTATGCTGAGTCACCTTAGATTACTTATAATGTGCAATGTAAACACTTGTTATTCTACTTTGCTTAGAGAATATCAAGAAAAAATCTGTACTTACATATTTTTCATATATACTTTTACATTTTTTAAATTTACTATGTATGAATATGTTTCCTCCATGTATGTCTGTGTACATGTATGTGTTATGCCCATGGAGGTCAGAAGGACGTCAGATCCCCTGGAGCTGTATTTACATATGGTTGTGAGCCACGATGTGAGTACCAGGAATTAAACCTTAGTCCTCTGGAAGAATAGCCAGTGTTCTTAACTTCTGAGCTATCTTTCTAGCCCCATATATATATTTTTTAAACAGTCCAAAAGATTGAACTCATGGCTTCATGCATACTAGGCAACCATTCTGCCATTGAGCTATATCCCAACATTTTCCTCAAAAGAAAGTTGAGGGAAGCCGGGCAGTGGTGGTGCACGCCTTTAATCCCAGCACTCAGGAGGCAGAGCCAGGCAGATCTGTGAGTTCAAGGCCAGCCTGGTCTACAGAGCAAGATCCAGGACAGGTACCAAAACTACACAGAGAAACCCTGTCTCGAAAACAAACCAAAAAAAAAAAAAAAAGAACAGGGGAAGAAGGCAGAATCTGGAAGTTAATGATAACTAATTGATAACTCACTGGCAAGCCACTTGTCTTTGCCTGAGATTACAAATATGTGTCACCATATTCCACATTTCAACATGGGTTCCCTGGATTAAAGTACTTTACCAACTGGACTATCTCTCCAACCCTAATGGGTAATGCTCTGTTCCTCTGGGCTTGGGAAGCAAAGCAATCTGGTGGCTCCAACATAGACTCTGCACCATACACAAGTATACTCGGGAGCAGTTTACATACTGCTCATAAAATAGGGTGACAACCATGCCTACTCCATGTGAGGATTCAATAAAAGGATGGCTGGCTGAGGGGCTGGAGAGGTAACTCTGGTTAAGAGCACTGGCTGCCTTCCAGAGGACCTGGTTTTGATTCCCAGCACTGATAGGGCAGCTCACACCATCTGTAACTGCAGTTCCAAGGGATCCCACACCTTCTTCTGGTCTCTGCAGGCACTTACATGGCATCTGTATGCATAGTTGTTTTTAAAACTATTTTAAGCATAGTAAAATTTTAGCTATTTTTCTGCCATGAAAGTGATCTAGAAGGAAAGATTTGGGGGGCTAGATACTTGCTATAGCCTCTATATGTTAATATTCTAACATCTCAGGGGACAGTATTAGAGACAGGGCCCCTGGGAGGTGATTAGGCCATGACAAACAGCATCCTCAATGCTATTAGTGTTGTACTACCATGCCCAGGTGTTTTTGAGACATGGTCTATAAGCTGGGTTGGCCTATGTCTTAGGGTTTCTATTGTTGTGAAGAAACACCATTTCCACAGCAACTCTTATAAAAGAAAACATTTAATTGAGGTGGCGACTTACAGTTCAGCGGTTCAGTCCGTTATCATCGTGGTGGGGAGCATAGAGGTGTGCAGACAGACATGGTGCTGGACAAGTAGCTGAGAGTCCTACATCTTGCAAGCAACAGGAAGTCAACTGAGACACTGGGCAGTATCCTGAGCATGTATGAGACCTCAAAGCCCACTTCCACAGTGACATACTTCCTTCAACAAGACCACACCTACTCTTAACAAGGCCACACCTCCTAATAGTGCCACTCTCTATGAGATTATGAGGGCCAATTATGTAAATTCAAACTACCACAGCCTAGCACTTCTGATGATCCTCCTGCCTCAGCTTACCCAGCTTAGATTTTTAAGGGGAAAAGTCACAAACTGTGGTTAATTGATTGCGTCCCTAAAAACAGGCAGGGCTACATGCAATGGCTTCTTGGGATTTCTTCCAACCTAAAAGTTCCTGAAATGCATTTTAGCCTTGGCTTCCTGGCAGGTTTCTAATACTACAATAGAGATGTCCCCTGTTACTAAGATCCCTAAGAACAGATCAGCTCCATGGTCCAGCCATATAAATCTGATAAAAATAGGAGCTGAAATACCATCCTGGGGTTGCTATTTTTAAAAGCATCTGAGATGCTGGATTGGGTTTATTTCTTTCTCAAACGGTATCTTGCTGTCCCTTCCTCCAAGTAGGCAGGATGTGAACGTGGCACATGTGAGGGACAGAAGCCGGAAGTCTGGCAGGCACATTTGTCAGGCAGCTGCTTGTCCAGGAGGAGCCTTGGGGACTGAGCTTCCCAGGCCCAGATGCACCTGCCCCTTCTCACACCCTTCCTCCTCTGTCTCCTCCCTCTGTTTGAGAGTCCCATGGTTGTCCCAGCAGTCAGGTGTTCTCCATATCTGCTGTAGGAGAACAGAAAAGGTAAAGGAGGCAAAGGCATGGGGTTGGAGGTGGTACTGCTCACCAGCTGAGTAGGACTCCCTGCTGTTATTCTGAAGGTTGTCTTGGCCCACCTCAGCACAGCTAACCTGAGGAACAGTCCCTCCAGGCCAGACCCAGTTTGTTACCCCCCTGCCTCTTGGTAATCGGCTCGTAGTGTCCTGTCAAGGGTTTGCAGTGGGATTGGTGAGGACCTAGAACCCAGGGTCTAGGATGAAAGAGTACCTGTGTATTAGAATTGCTTCCCTCTCACCAGGTGATTGTGGCACACACCTACTAACCCCAGCACTCGGGAGGCAGAGCCAGGTGGATCTCTGTGAGTTCGAGGCCAGCCTGGTCTACTACAAAACAAGTTCCAGGACTGGCACCAAAATTACACAGAGAAACCCTGCCTTGAAAAAACCAAAAAAAAAAAAAAAAAAAAGAAAAAAGAAAAAGAATTTCTCCCTTCTCTTTCACAAAAGACAAAAGACACAGGGGTTTTTTTTTTTTTTTGGTTTTTTGTTTGTTTGTTTGTTTGTTTGTTTGTTTAGATTACTGGCTCAGCTTCTATCTGTACTGTTAAGAAACTGGACGGGAAGCCTGGCATGGTGGAACACCTGTAATCTTGGTTCTCAGAAGGCTAAGGCAGGAGGATCACAAGTTTGAGGTCAGCCAGGATAGTGAGACTATCTTAAAAAAATGGAGGAAGTGGAAGGGAAATGTCATAAAAACACAGTGACCTAAAGTAGATGATCAGGACTGGGATAGGCTAGGAGGTTGTGGTTTGAATGCATTTTATAAGTTAAAAAGGTATTCTTCTTTGGGGTTAGGGAGAAACCTGGTACGTGGGGAAACTTCTAGGAATCCACAAGGAGGACCCCAGCTAAGACTCCTAGCAATAGCGGAGAGAGTGCCTGAACTGGCCATCTTCTGTAATCAGATTGGTGACTGTCCTAATTGTCATCAGAGAGCCGTTATCCAGTAACTGATGGAGGCAGATGCAGAGATCCACAGCCAAGCATTGGGCCGAGCTTGGGAGTCCTCCTGAAGAAAGGGAGGAGGGATTATATGAGCCAGGGGGTTCACGGTCATGATAGGGGAACCCACAGAGACAGCTGACCTGAGCTCGTGGAGCACATGGACTCTGGACCAACAGTTAGGGAGCCTGCATGAGACGGACCTAGGCCCTCTGCATGTGTGTGACAGTTGCGTAGCTTGGTCTGTTTGTAGGGCTCCTAGCAGTGGGATCAGGCACTTAGCTGGCTTTTGGGAACTTGTTTCCCATGCTGGTTTACTTCACCCAGCCTGGAGACGGAGGAAGAGTGGATAGGGAGGGGGGTAGACCGGAGGTGGGGGGAACTGGAGGAGAGGAGGGAGGGGAAACTGTGGTCCATATGTAAAATAAATGAAAAAAAAAAGTTAACTAAGTAAAATAAAATTTTAAAATGTATTTTTATTAAAAATACTTTTTCAACAAAAAGGTACTCTTTTGCATTTTTTTTTTTCCGAGACAGGGTTTCTCTGTGTAGCCTTGGATGTCCTGGAACTCACTTTGTAGACCAGGCTGGCCTCGAACTTACAGAAATCTGTCTACCTCTGCCTCCAGAGTGCTGGGATTAAAGGTGTGTGCCACCACTGCCTGTTTTTTTTTTTTTTTTTGCATGTTTAATAAGAGCATAATTATACATATCATATTGTGATTTCAGGGCAAGTTCACCTCCATTGCCTCATTCAGTACTAACAACAGCCCTTTGAATAAGCTCAGTTATTTCCATTGATTTTTCTTTTTCCAGTAAGAAAAGGAAAGGTATTTAGTGGCAGAGGCAAGATTGGAACTCAGGTCTCCAGGAGCAAAAAAAAGCCGATTCCTTTAAGCTCAATTTTAATGGCAGAAGGATTTTTCCATGGTCCTTAGCAAGAAGTGTGAACTTGTCTTCGAACCTACTTTGGTGAAGACTGAGCTAAGTTTGGAGGCTGGGCTGTTTCTTGGATCAGCTTGCCACACACATCTATTCACTCAGGGCAGCTGCTGTTTCTCATGGGGCAGTTTTTCCTTTGCAAAATAGGAATCTTCCTTCTTCTTCTTTTTGACTTGCCCAACACAGAAGACATAGGTATTGTGTTCTCTCTTCCCAGCTTAGTTACAGGACATGATATGTAATAAATATTTGTTGAATGAATACGTGACTGACAGGCCAAAGGCACCATTCAAATAAAACTAGGCTTTGGTGCGATGCCAAAGAGCTTCTGCCCGTGCAAGGTATAATTTAGGTGGAAACCGTCACCAATGGAAGAAGCTGGAAGCCGACTCTTCATTTTGTTTCTACAAAGCAGAACTTGTGAACTGGAGGTTTCCATCAGGTAAGACCTCCAGCTTCCCCTGAAGATGACTAAACTGCTACTTCACAGGAACCCTGGGCACTTACTGCCAGTTCTTCATATCTTGAATGTAGTCACATCCTGTGCCGCCTGGTTCTTGAAGGGAGTCCAGCGTTAAGTCTTCTCTCTGCAGCTGGACAGTAAGCTTCCTGAGGACAAGAACTGGACCTGACACTTTCCTTGGGGCCACAGGGTGTTCGTGCTAGAAACTGGGTAACACTGCTGACTCCTGAAAAGGTCAGTCCTGCAGGCGGGGTGGTTTCTGCACTGTTCTTCAGTCCAGGCAATTCTAGAGCCCAAGGAATCAGGGTTAAAGGCTTGACGGGGTTTCCCCTGGAGACAGGATGCCTGGCGCCTTCAGCAAGAACGGAAACTGAGAAGTTATCCGAGGCTAAGGCAGGCTATACAAGGGAGGGTGCAGAGGGGGCAGTTTGGGGCGCCCGGGCCAGCCTGGGACAGAGGAAAGGCCCGCCAATCGGTTTAGGTCAGCTGACTGCCATGAGGGCATGGGGGTATATTGGAAGGACGGACTCCCACTCCTGTAGCTCAGTTACAGTAGAGAGAAAAGGACACTTCTCACCGCGCGGGGACAGCAAAGAAGCCTTTCTTGGGCCTCATTGTTCCCAGGAGAGTGTGGGATCACTACGTTGGGCATACTCATCTTGGCGCCAGTCACAGGCAGCGCTTGCCCTGGGCCTGCCCTCACCCGATCCGGCCTCCCGCACCCGGGCACCCCGGGCGCTTCTCTCCGGACCTCGGAGGCCTCCACACACCAACCGCAGTCGTCTGGGGGCCTCGCGCCCCCGCCCTCCCTCCTGCGCGCGCCCACCCTCCCTCCTGCGCGCCCTCCTTCCACCGCGCCCTCCCTCCCTCGGCGCGCCCTCCCTCCAGCGCCGCGTTCTCGGCAGTCGGCTTCCCGGCCGTGTGCGCAAGCGTGTCCGGCCCCTTCCCCGCCCCCCGCCCGAGCCCCGGCCCCCGCCTCCCCTTCAGGAGGACTTGCCCGCTCCCAGGCCGGCCCCGCTCCCGGGACAGGGACCGGGCCGAGCGGAGCCGCTGCGCCAGTGCTGCCCCGCCAGCACGGGCGCCTAGCGGATCGGAGCTGCGCGCGGATCTACCTCGCCCCGCCCCGCTCCACCCGCAAGGGTGAGTACGCGGCGGCCCGGCTCTGGGGCCCCGCGGCGGCGGAGGGCGGGGAGCGTCGGGGCTGCCGGGGCGGCCGGGGCTCCAGCCTCGCGCCACGGCTTGGGGAGGTGGTCGGGCCCGGCACGTGGACGCCACGCTGCACGGGGTCGATGTGGGGCGGCCACAGCCCTGGGGAGCTGGGTCTTTTTTTTTTTCCTAGACTGGATTTTCGCGGGAAGCCTCATTCGTCTCGCTCTCTTGGAGTGAGCAAACAGGACAATCCTTTGCAAAGTTTCTAACCCCTACCCCTGTCGCTCCTGCGCCCAGGCTGAATAGGTGTCCACCACCTCTAGCATCCTCTGAACTCCAGGACATGTGGGCTGGCTTTGCTAGAGGTGACAAGCTTTGCAGGGTCTGCCTTGTGCTGGAGTTGCAAGGTCGCTGAGCAAAGCCCAAAAGGTGGGCTTGCCAACTGCAGGCTGGTTGTGTCCAAGGAGTCAGCCGAGATATGAGGGCGTCTTTGGGCCTGGGCAGCTGTGCTTCGAAGTTGTCTGGGTGGTGGACTTTGGGAAGGAATAGGACTGAATAGGTTGAGCTAGAGCTGGGGGGGGACAAACCCTTGTCATGTCTGTTCTGGGTGCCTCTCTGAGATCCTTGCTGGCTGGGACCCTGGGCAGACCCTCGATGCCAACGTGTCTGCCATTCCCAGTCCAAAAAAAAAAAAAGGGGTAGACTTTTCTGGTTTATAAGGCCTGATCTGCTGTGTTCTTCATTCTCTGGGCTGGATCCCCAGGACCAGAATTAGAAGGCTAGTACTGCCTGCAGGCTAGGGGTAATTTAGGTTGTCTCTCACAGGGACATGAACCTATACCACAGTGCAGGACCAGTTCTACAGATCTACTTGGCCCCTCCAGGCCTCTACCCAGGAAGTTTTAAATAAACTGATATGTGTAAAGTAAGTACTTTCTTTGGAAAGTCCTGGCGCAGAGGAAGAGTTGTGTATTTGCTATTGAAACGACATCTATAACCTTACTTTCCCAGGCAGTCCGAGAGTGCTGCCTAGAAGGTGCCAGTTACTTAGAGTGTGGGAAATAACTAGACATGTTTTGCTTTGTTGGCAGTTGGCCTGCAAATGCCCTCTGAGAAAGCTGAGGCCACCCACCTTTCCCGAACTTTTTCTGCCTCTGCCCCTCCTCTGAGCACCCCTCATGGCCTATCCTGTTGCATAGGGAGAGCACAGAGAGCACCTTTGGCTGCTTAGTGAAACCCTGCACTCCTTCAGGGCAAGCCAGGAGTTGGGGCCAGCCCCCAAAGACTTCAAGGTGATAGTGGAGATAAAGAGAGGGATGTAGACCGAAGTCATAAAAGTAAATTAGGAACTGGGGGTGTGGCGGAACATTTACCTACAATCCCAGTACTTGGGGGGGCGGGTAGAGAGATAAGGGATGCATTTGTTAAGGTGCTTGGCTGTCTAAACCCGTCAAGTTTGATCCCCTATGCTGTCTAAACTTACCATGGTGGCACATGCCTATAATCCCAGCACTCAGGAGATGGGATGCCAGCACTGGGCAGGTAGATCAGTTCAAGGTCATCTTCTGCTCCATATGTAGTTTGAGGCCAAACGAGGCTGCATGAGACCCTGTCTCAATAATCCCCTTCTGGGGCTAGAGAGATGGTTCAGTGGTTAAGAGCACTGGGTGGTCTTGCAGGGGACCCGGGCTCAATTCTCAGATACCTGTAGAATAGCTAATTCCAGTTCCAGGGGATCTGACACCCTCTTGTGGCTTCTACAGGCACCAGGCATGCATGTAGTGCACATAAATACATGCAGGCAAAACACTCATACACATTTTTTTTTTTCAAAGTTGCCTGCATAGCCTCTAGACTGAAGAGCATCTTGTGGGTCGCTGCTCAGAGAGAGGAAGCCCCCGTGGCACTAGGATTGGAGGCTGGGGGTGAGGAAGCCCCTGGTGCCTTCTAGGCTGTCTTCCCTTCCCTCCCTTGCTCCTTCCCTGCAGCAGTGACTCACCCACGGAGTGCCTTGGCCCCTCTACCCTGCCAGCTGTTTCAGTCTCATAGGATTTCATTTTCCGGGTAGAACTAAGAATCTGCCCATTTCTGGAATTGTCAAAGTTCCTGGGAAGATCCTCCTTTCTTCCCTGGGTAGGGAGGAACAGAGAGGTCGGTCCCACTTCTTAGCACCCTCTTGAGTCATGGCCAGTCAGTCTGCAGTTACTCCACGGGGCTGGCATCTGTCCTTGCTCTGCAGGCTACTCTAGGCCTCTGATCTCTCCTCAAGGTCCCTGCCCCAGGGTTGCCCAGTGAAGTAGAGAACCCTTCCTGTCATAGTGGTCCAGGGTTTGCACCATGCATTGGAGAGAGGACACCGCTCTGCTTCAGATGGTACCAAGCAATTGCAAGCTGTCAGGCTCGGGCTTCGGGAGCGAGGATGGGGCCCTAGGAAGGTCGGAAGGCTGAACCTACAGGTTTTGATCAAAGCAGAGCTGCAGCCACTGGGAGGTAGACATTGGGCGTCGGAGGCAGGGCAGGTGGGGTTCACTCTCCCTTCTCCATTCCCCAGTGGTGAGTCTCGTAGCACCGATGCAGCCTCTTCCCTGCAGTGAGCTGGTGCTGAGTGACAGAGCTCCCCCTTCCCTTTCCTCCGGCCCTCACGACCCTCCTTCTTCCTAAAGACCCCTGACTTTGACGGGAAGTTTTTAGTTTCCACAAGGAAATGGCTAGGATGTGGCTGTAGTCATTAGCCTACACCTCCCTTCATCGGCCTTTCTCAGAGAAGCTTGAGCACATCTGTGTGAGTGTTCAGAGCCCCGCTAGGAGGGGGGACAGTTTCCCTCTTGACACCCCCCTCCCACCTTCTACACCCCTGAGGTGTGTCTGACTAATGCAGGTGGAGGTGGTGGTCACATGCAGCCTCAAAGACTGCTCAAGTCTCAGCCACAGCCCGTTCTGAGATCCACCCAAAGGTTGTGTTGGGCTGTGGCTTTCAGGGTATGGGTGTCCAAAAGCGCAGCTTGTGACCTCCAAAGCTGCTGTGCGGAAGGCTGATATGATTGTCTAGATTCTGAAGCCCTGGGATCTGCTCCAGTCCGGCCAGGAAGGAGGGTGCTGCTGCTAAGAATGAGGTGAGGCATGGGTCTGATTAGATGCTTGGTGAGTGTGAGGATGCCTCAGAGCGGTTGGAGCTTGAGGATATAGTCCTTTCCTCCTGCCTGCAACTTGGCTCAGGCCTGTTCTGGAGTCAGGGGCTCTAGGATCTTGCTTTCGTCTTTGAAGGGAAGCAGCTTGAAGAGTCCAGGGACCAGTTTTGCAAGTGCTGCGCCGAAACACACAGTATTTCTGCTTTGGACCCAAATCTTCCAGGTGTGAGTTCTACGGTAGCTGTGGTGGTGCCGCTTGTACCCATGTCTACCCTGTGTCCTCTCCCACCAGAGCATAATGTCATAATGAAAAGGGACTTAGAGCCAGACATGGTGGCTCTTCCTTGTAATCCTAGTATTTGGGAGGTTGGAGGCAGGAGGACCAGCAAGCTGGAGGCCAGCCTGAATTACATGAGATTTTGACTCAAAAAAATAATTAGGAGGCTGGCGGTGGTGGCGCACGCCTTTGATCCCAGCACTCGGGAGGCAGAGGCAGGCGGATCTCTGTGAGTTTGAGGCCAGCCTGGCCTACAGATCGAGATCCAGGACAGGCACCAAAACAACACAGCTAAACCCTGTCTCGAAAAACAAACAAACAAACAAACAAACAAACAAATTAGGGCTAGCAAGATGCTTCGGTGGGTAAAGCATTTGCTACTTAAGCATGAGGGGCCTGAGTGAGTCCCCTAGACTTGTGGGAGTCCAGACTGGGTAGTGTGCCTCTGTAATTCTAGTACTCTTATAGTGAGGTGGGAGATAGAGACCGGAGAATGGCTGGTAGCTGAAGGGCCACTTAGCTTTGGCATATGCAGTGAACAACAACAAAGAGACCTTGTCTCAAACAAGGTGAAAGGCTGAGATTGTCTTTTGACCTCCACGTATATGCTGTGGTACGTGTCCACAGTGGTGTGTGTACCTGCACATGCTCACGGACACAAACTCACACCAGTTAGTGGAAAACTGTAAACCAGGGAGGGGAGGGGATGCCGCCCAGTACACTCTGTGCCACCTCCTGTAAGCCTCTTTGTAAATGAAGCCCGCTTGTAAATGAAACAGGCTGGGGAAGATGAAAATTACTCTACCAAGGCCACACCACTCATAAACTGTGGAGCGGGGGAGTGACCTGTTTCCAGCGCCCGCACTTTTCAGCCCTGTTTTGTCCACTTCCTAGCTGGAGCTTGTCTTAACCAGTCCCATCAGGGATGGGAAAAGAAAGATGTCAGGGTCACGGTGATTTACTGTCAAAGGGGGAAATACAAACCCGGGCCTCCCTATGCTGCCTGAACTGAAGTCTAGCCCAGAGCTGGGCTTCTCATCCCTTTCAGTGAGGCAGGCAGGCCAGGGCTCTACCCCTCCCTAGCTCCCTCCTTCCCTGCTGGCCCCTCCCAACCCCGCGCCTCTCCGCTTTCCCGCCGGTAATTGCTTCCATCTGCCCCGCCTGCCTGCTCCTTTTCCCTGGAATTGCGGCCGCCGCCCACACGGCTGAAAGTCCTCCTCAGGCAACCGCCGGGACACGTGGGGAAGGGGAGGGGCTCTGCGAGTGTCTGAGCCCGGGAACCCGCCCAGGTCACAGCTCCCGGCAGCGTCTCCTTTACAAAGGATTACCTCTGCCATCCGGTGCTCCGTGATGCCTGGTTCTGGGCTCAGTGCCATAGGGGTACCCCCAAAAGACCCCATCTTTGAGGTCCCTTTGAGGTCGCTGGCCTGGCCCAGGAGGATGGATGCTGGGCATACCCTGGTGTTGGGGATCCTTGGAATTATTGGTGGCACAGCCTGGAGGGCCCTGGAGCTCTGGGAATGGGAAAATAACAGCTACAGTTACTTTGATTCTAAGTGATTGTCACAGAACCCGGGAGAAGAGATGCATATTTTTACCTTGCTATAAAATAAAATGCACAGGCGTGAAGTGCACATTAGCACTCTGTTTATTCCTCTGTCCAAGACTGCACCAGCTGGGCAGGGAGAGAGAAGCCAGCTAGGGACCTTCAGATGGCCACATGCAAAGTTTTAGAAGCATGTGTTTGATGGCCACTGAAGGTCACTGAGACATACCAGTGACCTTGACAGAAGCAAAGGCTGTACAGAGGAGAGGGAGACCGAGAACCAGGAGGTGTGTTCATGGTGTTGAACGGATCTGAACTCCTTTAAGCCCTTTTCCTCCCCGAAGGTTAGAACTTCAAACTCTAGGAACGTGTCTGCCTTGCTCACTGCTGTGTTCTTGTTTGTTGAGACAGGCTCTCACTGTGTAGCCTTACACTATATAGACCAGGCTGGCCTCGAACTCGTAGATCTGCCTGCCTCTGCCTGTGGAGTGCTGGGATTAAATGTGTGAGCCACTGCCCTTGGCTTTCACTGCTATATTCTTATCGCCTGGAATGATGACTAGCAAATAATTGCTTAGTAAACGTTTTTTTTGAGGAGTTAATGGAAAAGTGTAGTTCGGGCTTTCTCGCTTGTCTTTACACTGCCCAGGTCCATCTTGTGTTAGGATAGGCGTTGAGGGTCCTGTATTCAGACACAGGTGGGCAGGAGTCTCCCTAGGAGAACATACCCCATTCTCCACTCCAAGTCCAGCTAGTCACTCCTTTTTAATAACTTTCAGATCTCTGCACAGACTAGTCATAACCTTCACTTCCTGTTCCTGTGTCAACTTCTTGTTATTTGCCCAAGAAGGGCGCCTTGGGGGCTGAGTGCTTAGTTGGGTGGCGTCTGTGGAGTAAGGGGTTTAGTCTCGTTTCTACATACTGGGGTTCCAGGTAAACTCTCCTAAAACTGAGACAGAGGGTTTCTTAGCTTAAAGAAAAAAGTCCCCCCGTCCCAAAGCCCCTGTTCATCTCCACCAAGAGTGTTCCCCTCCTATTCCTGGTAGCATGCCATCCATATGGATCTGTCACCTCTCAGCCTTTGCTCCCACAGTCTTGCCACATGACTTGGTCATCTTGCGTAATGACCATTCTGAATCGCCTTTGTCCTTCAGGTCACCTTGAACCAGTGTTCTGTGAAGGCTCCCTGAGTCCCTCTGCCTCTGCCACTCTGCATCTCACTCCTGTGAGCTTGAGTTCAGAGGGGACCTCTGCGTGTGGGCTGAGCCAAAGGCAGGAGTTGTGAAACCAGGGTATTTGTCTCCCTGGGGACAGGTGGTAGGCTCGCCCAGTTTCCCTCTTTTCCTACCTTCCGCAGCCCTTGTTAGCATTATTTACACCTCCAAGAAATTAACACTCCTTAATGAGATAGCACTTCAGATAACATTCAGTGCCTGGAGTGTAGTACGCTACAAAAGCTGGCTGGCTGGCCTTTTATTCCAGGGAGACTGCCTTTGGGCCCTGGGAGAAGAAGAGCATTGAGCTGGGCAGGAGCTAGGGCCCTATCTGTGCCCTCTGTCCACCCAAGTGAGTTCAGCCAGATCTTGCTTTTGATTTGGTTTTCTAGATTAGAAGTCTGTTGATTGAGGTACAGATACTCATATCTGCCTCACTCAAGCATGGCAACGTACAAGTAAGATAAACATTTCTTCCCCAGGAAGAGACCTCAGAGGTAGGCATTGGTGTTAACTTGCTGGAAGGTCGGGACTTTGTTACCATCCTCTCTCCAGCACTAGCATCCAGCGGGTACCCAGTAAGTGCTCCATATTTCCTTTTGCAAATGATAGAATGGAAGCGCAGAAAGGTCTCAAGAGCATCTCTCCCCAAGGGAGGGAGGGAAGGTGCAGGGCCTAGCCTCAGGTGTGACCCTGATTTTCTCATTCCTGACCCCCCCCCCACACACACACACACACATTCTTGTTCAGCCCATCTGCTTTACATGCTCCCAGTTGTTAAGGCTAATCTCTCCTGGGGCATGGTAGGCCCCTAGGACTTGGTGAGCTAAAATGAATGGTCTGGAAGTGCCCAGTGGCCTGGACTAGACTAGACTGGCCATGTCTATTTGACAGAGCAAGAGCTGAGGGGCTGGAGGAAGAGTGTGCGTTGGTGGAGTGTGGGGACTGTCCTCATCGCCTTGTGGGTTCTTCTGTCCCGATTCATTGCCTCTTCTCTTTCTGGACCCCCCTTTGGCCCCCTCTTTTATCTCTTTCAGCTCTCCAGAGCTCCCAGTCTTGCCTCAGAGGCACCTACTGAAGAGAGCTGACCAGAGTCGGGAGGTTTCTGGCCGGCCTCCTCCTAGGGAGCACACCTTTTGTGTGTATGTGCTTGTAAATGTGTGGGTGAGGGTGTGCATGGGTTACCTGTGTGCAAGAGAGTTTCGGGGCCTGTGTGTGAGCAGAAGCTGGCATGCATTTGTGTGGATCTGCACTCCTTACCTAGGTCATGGTACTTACCAGGGCTTGCTCCTAGTCTAGAGCTTGCTTCTTTGTCCTTGTGACCTTGGCTTTGCACTGAGGCTTTGTTCTCTCTTAGAGACCAGCTGGTTCTTTGCTATGGTCCCACACAGTGGTGACTGATCCTCGGCCACCCATTCAGCTTGCCCAGGGGCCCTGGGGCCAGTGTTTGTCCCGTCTTCCTAAATGGAGGCGTGTAGGGGCTTCCTGCCCAGAGTTTCAATCCTGCCAAGGCAGAGGGAATGGGGAACAGCTGCCTTGGCTGATTGCGGCTCCGTATGGATTTGGTTTGACAACAAAGCTCCCTCTGTGTGTTCTCAGGCCCCTTATGTAACTAGAGTGGGGGCAGGGGAGGTACGGGAGGAGATGGAGACCAGGAGACACCAGGAAGGGGCTTGGGAGACAGGGAAGCTGGTGAGACCACTGAGAGGAAGGCTGAGGGGGAAGAGGGTAGGTTTGGACACCGCAGTCCATTTCCTGCCTCCAGAGGAGGGTAGGGGATGACTTCCAGGTCTAGCACCCTTCCTTTCCATGTTGTCTTCCTCCCCTTGGACCCTTCTCATGGTCAGTGTCAGCTAAGAAAGGGCTCTGGGACCTGTTTGGGAGTGAGGCCAGGTAGGGTTTGGAACCAGGCCTGAGAAGCTGGTCCTTGACCTCACCCTTTAACTGGATAGATTCCTTATAGCCGGGCAGTGGTGGCGCACGCCTTTAATCCCGGCACTCGGGAGGAGGCAGAGGCAGGCGGATCTCCATGAGTTCAAAGCCAGCCTAGTCTACAGAGTGAGTTCCAGAAGAGCCAGGGCTACACAGAGAAACCCTGTCTCAAAAACAAACAAACAAACAAGAAGTGATTCATTTTCTTCCCTGGCCTTTGGGCTTCTGTCTCCTTCTCCTAGACCAGCCCTGCACCATGCCAGGCTGTCCCTCCGGCCCCTTCCCACTCCACTCAGCTTGCTGGCCAACTCCACCTGTGGCCCTGTCCCCTGCAACACCCCGTTCTCTTCTCTACATCACTGTCTCAGCAGCTGTCCAAATCGAGAAGAAAGAAAATATCCTCTCTCGGGAGCAGCTGGACTGATCGACCAGCAAGGCCAGGTGAGCTGGCCAGCGCTAGGTGTGCCCTGGAGTAGGGGTGGGGACCAGAGCTGAGCCTGGGACCTGATCGCTCAATGAACACTAGAAAAGGCCTGGAGAATATGTGGGGTCTCTGGCCTCTCCTGCCTTACAGGGATGCCTACACCCCTATGGGGATTCAGCCTTTTAGAGTATCTCCTGGTCTATTTCTTCTCTGTCCCTCAATTTCTGTGGTTTTTTTTGTTTTTTTTTCTGGTCCCTGTTGTTTATTCTCTTTCTTTACAAACAGCCATTTTTCTGCATCTGGAAAAACGTTGCAAAGGCCATGCACATTCAACCTGTGGGAAAGCATGGTTCCTGAAAGGGTAGGGAGAAGTACTGCTGGCCAAGAAGCCAGTTACCCTGAGCATGTGTTTGGGGCCTAATAGATGGGCGTTTAGTGTATGTTGATCCGTGGCACTGCTGTGGTTGATTTGTGGTCTCTGCCCAGAGGTATTCTGGAGGAAACTTGGGCCTGCTGCCCTAGGGGGAAGTATGGGGGAGGGGGGACGTAGCCTAGATCTGCTGAAGACTCTAGAATCCTCTCCCTAGGCATTGACTGGCTGGAGTCTTATGCTTTAACTGCCTCCTTTTCAGGCCTGGGTGCCGGCATGATCCTGGGAATGCTGAAGCCTCAGACTTGAGCCCACACTCTGTGTGAGCAGGGTGGGTGGGGGGCGAGAGTAGGGGGAGGCAAATGGGGGAAAACCTAGGGGACCTGGGACTTTCTAGGTTTGGTGTTCAGTGAGCTGAGAGGTCAGTCCTTGATATAGATTAGGCACGGATAGAGAGAGGGCTGAATAATCCTGGAGAATGGTGGGCGTCAAGCCAGGAAGAGCCCTCCACTGAACAGCAACCTCTGCCGTGTGCAGGGCTGTGGGCACAGGCTCACCTCTAGTCCTGTAGGGACCCTCCCAAGGAGTCCATCAGTGTGGCCAAAATGCCTCTCCAGGACTTCTGCCCTGTATCTTCCTTCTGTTTATATTCCTGCAGCCACCCCTTTGGTATCCCCCTTCCCGCTGCTTCTGAGGATGACAGGAGGTGCACTTTCCTCTTGAAAGCTGGATTTGGAAAGACAGAGGCAGCAGGATCAGGGATTCCCTTTATCCAACTTTCAAAGGTCCCCAGAGAGCAGATGTAGCCACTCCCTGCTCCTCGAAGCTCTAGGCTCCCTGGCTGTTAGCTCCAGGGACCTTCAGCCAAACAAACAAACAGCAGGAGTCAGGGCTGAAATTGAAGAAACCAGAGAGCAGTGCGCCTGCCACCAAGGCATGGTGGAAGAGAATTCCCTGGCCGATGGGGCCCAGCAGACCTCAGAAGCTGTATGTGGCAGTGGAGTGGGTAGGGGAAGGAATGAGAGCTGTGTTTGTGAGCGCTTGTGTGTGGTGTATGTAGGAGGCCCCTGTGATGCTGTGTGTGTGTGTGTGTGTGTGTGTGTGTGTGTGTGTGTGTGTGTGTGTGTGTGTGTGTTTTTAGTAGTGGCTAGTATGAGAGGTGTGTACAAGTTATTGCCACGCAGGCCAAGTGTAGGTGTTACTGAAGCAAGTTTGAGTGGGGGAGGGGCCACCCGTGCCGCGTGGTTCTTTAATGTGACGGAGCTGTCCGGTGCTCACACAGTCATTTCTACCCTCCCCACAAGGGGCTAGGTGGGTAAGAGATGCCCTGGGTGGTCTCTGAAAACCTGAGTACCAGCCAGCCTGTCGACCCAGAGGATCTGTTGCTCAAGGACTTCAAAGCCTGGTCTTTGTCAGCAGCACCCAGAACATTAGCCATCCTTCCCTGCCCTCATCATCCCCTGCCCTCATCATCTGCTTTTAGGCTGAGGAAAATGTGTGTGTGTGTGTGTGTGTGTGTGTGTGTGTCTGTGTGTGTGTCTGTGTGTCTGCGTGTCTGTGTCCATGTCCAGACAAGCTGATATAGGAAGGGAAGGGCTTGACTTTCCTTCCTCACTCTGCACATCCTTTCTGGGAGGCCCTTGGCTCGAACACCACTGCCCTATCTCTCTCCAGCCTCGCCTTTCAGACTTCCCTGTACCTTTAACCCTGAGTTCTTCCTAGGAATTCAGAAGGGCTCTCCCTATGGATATATAGACTTCCTTGTCCTTGAATTAGGGTTCAAGAACATTCAAGGCCTTTAGTCCACTTAGAGCTGACTAGATATTCTGGGGAGGGGCGGAGGGAGAACGGTCCTACAGAAATGACCAGGATCAGGGGAGGGGCTTCTGACAGCAACCGCTGCTCCCGGGGACTTCCAAATAAGAGCTGGCAGCCAGCAAGAGGTGTGGAGCTCTGAGCGAACCCTTATTCACCTCTGTGGGCATTCTTGGACTACACAGATCTCTATCTTGTATCTGCTTGGAGTCGTAGGTAGCACAGATGGTTCTCAACTTACAAAGGTTTGATTTAAGGTGAAAGGAAAAAGGGAATTATAATGGCATGTGAAGACTTACAAACAAACAAACTTAATGTGTCACACACTGAGAGTTGTGGATTTTGCCCCTTACCAGCCCGGTGATATGCAGGATGGCTGTCTTGTGATGCTGGCAGAGGGCAGCCCCGGGAACCCCGGCCAGCCACATAGTCACAAGATGAACATTGCTGCCCTCCCAGCAGTAGACTGGGTTAAGATAGGATGTTCAGCATATAGAGCGTGGATGTCAGATGCATTTTGGAGCTGCAGTGTTTTTAACTCAGGAGGCTTTTTTGGGGGACATAGCCTCATTGTCAGTCAGGGTACCTCTGCCTGAGCTAGAGAGGGCCATTCAGTGCAGAAGGAGCATTACTCTGGAAGAGGCTGCTTAGTACTGGGTACTGTCTGGAGGGCTGGTGCCTGTACCACCCAGGCTACGAGGGTCTGTCCATGGTCTAGCTGGCTGGTTGCGTAAGCTGGAACCGGCCAAGAGCCTGGGCACTGGCAATCAACTAACTACCAGAGGGACTGCACTTGGAGAGAGAGGAAAGAGTGGGGTGACCTCCCCAGCGCGGGCCCACCCGTCCCTCCGGCAGTAGTGCCTGTGAACCGTGTTGTCAGGTGTGGGTGTGAATGTGGTCCTGGGGTTGTGATCTCAGGCAGGAGGAAATGGACACTCCTCATCATTAAATAAGAATGAAAGAGCAGGAGCACATGAGGTGGTTTAAAAATTAAAAGAAATTACTCACATAAGCTGCAGGATTGTCCCAGGAGTCTTTTAAAATTTAATCCCATGCTGTCACTCCTTTACTAATACCCTGCTGTGACTTTTTATGACATCGAGACAACCCCGCGCTCCTCTGGTGGTCTGTGCAGGGCCTTCGCTCACCTGGTACCCATGGCATCCTTGAGTTGGCTGTCTCTGACCGCCAGAGTCGTATCGGCCTTGTTTCTGTTCTTTACATCTGACTGAGGCGGGGTCCAGAACCTTCGGTCCCTAGCCCGTGTAGATCTCTGGTTAAAACCAGCTTCTGAGAGGGATAGTCCTAACTCGATTGCAGAGGACCTGCCCGGCTATTCTCTGCCCATCACTGCCTTTGGTCAGCGGCTTCACAATATGAGTCATCATTACAGTGCCTTCATTATTTCTCTGCTTGTCATGTCTGTCTCTACTCATGTATAAACTCTCTATATAGGGGCCAGTTGTCTTGTTTATAGCGCTTGACAGTGCCGTGGATGTAGGAAGCTGTGGTCCGAGAGGGCTTCTGTTTCTGCTGTGTGCCCAAACTTGTGGTTGTTTTGTTTTGTTTTGTTTTTTCTCCTAAGACAGAGTTTCTCTGTGTAGCCCTGACTGGCATAGAACTCACTCTGTAAACCATGCTGGCCTTGAACTCAGAGATCCACCTGCCTCTGCCACTCAAATGCTGGAATCAAAGGTGTGTACCACCACCTCCCAGGCCTTGAAGGTATCGCAGTGGGACAGGAGTGTTGTTCTAGACCAGCTCCTCTGAGGAGTAGGTAAGGGAGGTATTGTTCATGACTCTTCTACAGCAACATGTGGGACTCCTCTGTAGGTGACCTTACTGGCCAGCAGCCCTAGAATCAGAGTCATCAGGGCTGGTCAACAGGTGCAGGAGTCAGTTCCTCAGAAACCACTGGTGAGTGTGAGAGTATGAGGAAGTGGTGCTCGAAGGACAAGTAATCATAGCCGCGTTGTCCTTACCAGCTGCTCCCGGGGAGCTCTGGCAAACTCCTGGTCTGTTGACTCCCAGGTCTTTGCAGAAAGTGTTGCTGTCATGTGTGGTATCACTGGCCTATACAGAGTTGTTGCGCACATTAGAAATAACCTCTCCCTCTGGGCATGGCCCAGCTCCAGTACATATGGCCTGCCAAGCAGAGAGAAGGCTGGACACTCCATCCTAGATAGTGTTCGTGTACCCGGTGTGTATTTGTGCTGGTGTCTGTCCTTGGAGTGAGACAAGGAGGAGGAGGAGGAGGAGGAGGAGGAGGAGGAGGAGGAGCAGGAGCAGGAGGAGGAGCAGGAGCAGGAGGAGGTGTTCCATGAGCAAGGCAGGAGCTGCACTCGTGTTCTATGGACTAAGGTCAGCTACTTCCACCTCAGCAATAACCCCGAACGGCCACTGTTCTTTGCCACTTTGAGTCACTCTACCAGACAGAGCTGTGTTTTCATCCTCAGTCACATAGCAGAAGACCTGGTCTGGAGTCTCCTAACCGATAAGTCCAGAATTCAGGTCCAGGTATGTGAGACCCCAACACTGTATTCTTTTGTTGTTGTCGTTTTTGTTTTGTTTTGTTTGTTTGTTTTTCAAGACAGGGTTTCTCTGTACAACAGTCCTGACTGTCCTGGAACTTGCTTTTTAGACCAGGCTGGCCTCGAACTCACAGAACTCCACTTGCCTCTGCTTCCTGAGTGCTGGGATTAAAGGCATCCGCCACCACCACCCGGCTAACACTGTATTCTTAATTATAGTATTTTATTTTCTCTCTCTCTTCTTCCTGCTGAGTTTTTTTTTTTAATTTAAAAGTATATTGTACAGGTTAAAAAGGTCAAA